GCAGCTCGATGGCTTGATTACCGCTCGACCAGATCCCGTCACGTTTGTACGTTAACTCAGCTTTTGAGGACTGGTGCAACGATGGGTGGTCGTGACTTGGGGAGTTTGGGTTTTGGCGACGACTGTTTCTTGATCTGACCTTCTGTCTCTCGATACGCAGACCCATGTTCCAGCCCATGTCGGTATCGAAGGTAACACTCAGGCCGACCTTCTCGCCAAGCATGGCTCGAGTATGCCTCAATTGACCCCGAATCTGCGTCCATTGAGCTCGACACGCTAAACCGTTCGCTTTTTTGCGCGTTATTTTTCCGTACCTGATGCAATAGCAAAGAAACTGAATTTAAAAAAAGAAAACAAGTGCTTTTTCTGACAATGTGCCAATCTCCCGGTGTTCGTTCTAGTACAAGCTCAGTCTGAGAATCTTGCTGACGGATGGAGTATCGTCGCGTGGTGGCGCACAACCTGGTCCTGCTCATCAGCGCCAGTACCGACGCCCCACCACCGTCCTCCTCAACCTTCTCATCGGCCTTTGCAGCATCGCAGAGTGACGGAAGCCGAGCAGCGGTTGCTGAAGCTGGCCCAGCTGGTCACCCTTATGCCACTGCCCCTCCTGCTGCTGCTACTGCTAGCTGCGACGTCCAGCGCGCGTTCGTCCGCGCAGCACTCGAGCGCATTCTGATGCTGGCAGCCACCCCTGGCCAGCCCACCCAGAGCCAGAGCCAGACCCAGAGCCAGAGCGAGAGCCAGAGCCAGAACACAAGTCAGGCCGCTGGTTTTGGCGGGAAATCTTGCTCAGAATCTGGTCTCAGCAGCAGTTCCCGCCATCCAGTGCCGCACGAGTCGGACGCTGACCATCACAACAATCATGAGCATGATCGCAGTCATTTTGGGTCGCTGCCTGATCGTGCTTCGGTGGATCCGGGCAAGCGTTCCAATGGAGCGAATGGACGACCAAGACGAGGCGACCTGTCGCGACGCAAGCTGAGCATGCTGAGCAAGGAAGACGATCATCATCATCATGATGCTGCGGATGGAAGTGATCAAGCGAGCGCTGGCACTGCAGACGAGACGGTCAATGCACGCCAGGACATTGAAACAAAGAGCGACGATGCGTCGGTCTGGGAGCGCAACCAGCTCCATCTAAGTGTAAGGCGTTGAAGGCAGGCATTATTGCTCAAGGTGGATTGTTTGGCTTTCATCGGAAAAGCGGTGGAAACGGATGAGGGTTCCCCTTTTGAACAACTCACTCATCTCGTTTTGCTTTCGGGGGTGGTTGGCTTTTGACAGGCTGTTGCCAAGCTTGTAGCATCGCGGGAAATCTCGCGAGTTGCTATTGTCACAACGACAGAGCGCGCCGAGCAGGTCACGCTGTATTCGCAATCATCCGAAGGCAGTGAGATCGGTTGGATGGACTTTTCAGACCTGTCCAACGTCCGCAGCGCCTTGCAAAAGATGGACCAAGTCGCAGCTACTCCATCCGAGCAGCCAAACGGCACTAGTAACAGTCACACACCCGTAGCGTGTGCAGCCCTTTTGCATCAGCTGCTTGATCAACACAGCAATCGCGCATTCCGCTCATCTCCCTGCCTGGTGCGACCCGGTGAGCGACAAGCTGCGGCAACTGCAGCTGGTGCCGCTTCTCCACGCAAGCCGACTCCGCTGTCACCCGGGGGAATGCCTCTGTTTGATTCGCCTCAGAAAAACAGCAGCAAACTGCAGCAGCAGCCAGTTCGGCCTCCACTCCCTGCAACGACACCAGAAGAAGACCTGCTGCATGTCGTGTGGATTACAGCAACTCCACTCGAGACTGCTGTTGACTCCACTGCCGCTCTCGGACTGCTTGGTGGGATGCGACGCGCGTCCACTTGGCACGACTCCTTCGTGTCTCTTCTCTGCTGCGAGCATCAATGCAAGACAGGCGAGCGCTCTTCCTCGCAACATAAACGTATTCGTTTGGTGGATGCCACCTCTGATGCCTCCTCATCGGCTGACTCTACGCAGGCCATGGTCGAAGACTTCATTCCCGGTGTCACGGTGGAAAGCTTTCGATTTTCGCATCCCTCTTCTGTTCACGAACCCGAATCGCCCCGAGGACCAGCGCACACGCCGTCGTCATCGACGAGACACAAGCGCTCCTATGCGGCTGTCGACAACGAGACCTCTGGGCACGGCTGGTCGAGCTTTGAGCTGATTTCGCAGTTTGCCCCATTCTCTCCATCGCCTCTTTCCGCCAGTCCGTCCTGTCATTCAGTCTACTCGGCCGGCTTTGACAAAACGCCTTCCGTACCGCTGAATGGCAGCATTGCAGCGCTTGCATTCCAACGTATGCTCGCGCGAACTTGCATCACTGCTGGGCAAAGTGTCGTCTGTGCTTGTGTCAATCTGTCGGCACTCCTGCCCACTGGGGCTTTGTCTGATGAACTCGTCCAATCGATGACACCTGCACAGCATCGCCTGGCACACAAACTTGCGCGAGCAGCGCAGGGTACCATGATGCCCCAGAACATTGCGACAAGCTCGCTGCAACTTTTGTCCATTGTCAAGTGTGAATCCATGCCCCTGGAGCTTCTCGGCTCCCGCGAGTGCGATATGCAACTAGACATTGCATGCCTCGATGGCACCTATTCCCCCCAGACGGCACCTTGCTTGCTGCGAGCGTGGTTGGCGCGAGAACGAGACTTTCTCGCTTCTACGGCCACCACCCCGCTGACAGCGCGTCGGATGCCAGGTAATTGCGCCCTGTTGTTGCGGCTGTCCTCGAGTGCCACACCTCGGGCCGGGTTTGTCGCACAGAACGCAGGCAAGCCTCGGACCACGTTGAATTGGCTTCGGTCTGCTTCTGTCTTGCCAACCGCGACGAAATGGCGATCAATGGTGTGGTCCACTCCTCCTGCCTCAGACGAGCCCATGACCAAGTCGATCGATACCAGCACTTTTGCGACACTCGGCACGCTGGTGGGTTATGTGGCGGCCGATGGGCGCATTTTGGTCACTCCCCTTTTGTCGTCGAACAGGCTTCCGTCCGATGTGCGTGGACCCCACCCTCAGATGGAAGAGACGTTAACTGTGGAACGGGAGTATCTTGACGCGCTTGCACAACCAACGCAGCTGTCCGCGTTCATCAAGAAAACGTTGCAGCCAGCATCGGAGCACGAGCCCGCCATCAGCGTCCATCCCTTTATTGCGCGTGTTCTGGAAAGCAAGGGGCTGCGAAATGTCCAAAACCATGTCGCTTGCACTTCAACAAGTGTCTCGGCTACAACGAACGGAGCAACAAGTCATTCGCAGCCCATGGCCTCGTCGAGCAAGATGCCATCTGCCCGGTTGTTGCAGAGTGCCTCTGGTCTCGGCGCTTCTCCCAGCGATCTACTTCACTCTGGTCCTGCGAGAGGAGGCAGCTCCACTGCGCCGCCAGCCCGGTTGGAAATGGATCCTGTTGCCATGCAATGCCGGCTGCTCGACTTGCGCGCGGACGACCAAGCGTCTGTTTCTCTCGCCGATGTCATGGAAACTGGTTGGATTGCGGACAAGAAGCGAGCTGCGGCAGTTGCACGACTGTTGCAAGACGTCCGTGGGAAGGTTGAACGTGACTATGACGCCGACATTGCTGTTGGCACTCCCGAGCACTGGAAGGCACGGATTCAAGCTCTCGGTGAAATTCGATCCTTTGCTCCGTTGAGCGCCCATGGGATTGATTATAACAGCGAGCAAGTGTGTGATATGGTTGACACGCACATGATGGTCAGTCATTTGCCGCTGTTGGCTGCAACTGCGGATTTGCGCCGACCCGATCGGGAGGGCCGGGCCAGCACGGTCGCGTCTCACCGTAGAGATGCCGCCGAAATGAGTGCAAATCAAGCCGACAAGAAAGCTCGTGGCGGTGCTGGACCCAGTCGAGTCCCCGCGTTCTCGGCTGCACAACCATCAAAGAATGTGCGGGCTTCCAATGGTGCTGCGCTGTTACAAGAGAAGCAAGATCGTCGCTCGCGAGATGGCACTGCCCAACCAGCCGGCCATGTCTCGCGGCCGAGCGCGGCACCCGATCGCAGTATCGAAGAGGCGAACAGACGTGAAGTCAAGCGTCTTTCCTCCGAAGCAATTGGTGCTTCGATTCCGAAGACTGACAAGCAGCATGGCCACTTGGTTACCATTTTGTACCGAATGGTGATTGTTCTATTGGAGGTAAGAATGGTCGAGTTGTGGTTTGGGGTTTTTTTTTTTTTTTTTTTTTTTTTTGTTGTTGTTGTTGTTGTTGTTTGGTGAGTGGTGAGTTGGTTTGACCGTCGGTCCCTGATGTTGTGTTCTCACTTGCTATTGCGTAACTCTTCTGATTGCTCCGTCACTTGGTGTTAGGCTCGGTCGGGTGGCTTGAACTCGGCTCTGATTCCAACAGCCGATATTCAATCCAAAGTCAACGGGTTGGTGAACCAAGTTGTCCCTATCTCCGCCGAGAGCAGACCGCGCACTTGATTGAACTGATGCAGCATTCGTATCTAATTTATTTGTAAATGATGAGGAAACGCAAACCTTGTACTGTTACAACTCTGCTTGGCGTTGACGACGCTCGTGCAGGACGATAACTTGGAATAAAAACACCTCTACCAAACCCCAGCAACATGAAACTAGGAGGAGGCGCGATTGGTAAAACCAAAGCGCAACGCAAATGAGACCCAAACCAGCCGCATGTTGCCACCACTGCATGGCATGCAGAACAAAACTAAACAGCTGCATAGAAGTAGCAGGCGGCAGCGGGTTGGTACTTTTGGTTTCGGGAAGCGGCTCGGAAGCAGAGGACAATGGCGCACTAGAAGGCAGTGAGTTTACAACAAACCTGCGACGCCGGGTCATCTTGATGGATGCATCGGAGGGGTGGTCTCGCGATGCCTCGTTGCGGAGGAATTCGGACTCTGCCTGTGTTTCGGCTTGAAACATGGCCTCGATGGAAGGAGTACTGCCTCGGGCCCAACGGGCGCACCAGAAGGCTCGTAATGAAAACACCAAATGCCACGGGACGAGAAGGAGGGCTGCGAGCAAAGGTGGAAGACTTTCAAAATGAACTGGTCGCCAATCCAAGATTGTGACCCAGCGATCAAACGCGTCCTCGACAAAGGTGCAGCTGGAGAGGAATAGCGACAGCACCCCAAGTGCACACGAAAAGCAGGGAAGCGCGTCCCAAAAAGCGGAAGCTGCCGTGTCAGGCGGTAGAAAAGTCGCTGGTGCCTTGCCGTAGTACCAGCTGGCTGAAAGAAGCGCGCGAACCATGCTCCACGGATGGTGAGCAAATTTCACGAACGTGAGAGAGCGCGGCGCTGGCGAGAACATCAATCGTTCAGGAAGAATGAGGGCCAAGCTGAGCGCAGCCAGCACACCCGCCAGCATGGACTTGGGCGAGGCAAGCAGAAGGAGTACTGCTGTGGCAATACATGCGGCGTTGTGAATGGCCAAGAGTGGAGTGTCGCTGGTTTGAAATGGCTATTGGGAGATCGCGACGAGCAACACGCAAAAAAGCAAAAAAAAAAAAAAAAAAAAGGAGTCAGAGAATGAGAGCAGGCCAAACGACAGAGACTGTTGAACATTCTTTGTACCTTGAGTGAGTGCAGTGAGGTAAAGAATGCGCCAGGTCCTGGCGATTCACGCCGCTGATTTGCGACGCGCAACGCCACGCGTATTGCTTTCACTCGAAAGGCGATTACTATCCAACAGTGCTGAACAATCGTCAGACCCAATGTGCAAGTCGCCAGTTGCCGAGCCGTATCTACGATTCACAGCAAAGTGGGAAGATGGAGAGGTCAAGTAAGAACCACAAGAGTCAAAACGAAAAAGCCCAAGCTGCAACGCACCTTGCAAATCCCAGACCAACGGAAACGGTGTAGCCAACATGATGCTCCCAAGAAGCAATGCTTGAAGTCCGAGTAATGCAGAAAAACTGTCTCCAGCACAGTGGTTTGTTGTGAGTGCAAAGTCGAAAAGGAACAAGCAAAAAGAGAAAAAAAAAAAAAAAGGAAAAAAAAAGGCCCTTCCTTACCTTTTCTTGAGATGGAGCTGTGTTAACGTTGATCCAACAGCAGCGATATCGACAGTGAAAATGCTAATGACAAGCAGCGCAGCGACTGCATTTGTCAAAAACACAAGCGGCTCAGAAAACGTCAACAGAGTTGGTCGCCACACCTCCTCGCTCGCGGGTGCGGTCGCGTTCAGCCACCACGTCGCCTGCACGGCCTGGTCTGGCAGCGTCGTTGTGTTGTAGTGTGTGCGGTACACTGCACGCAGCACATTGAGCGAGGTGAACGGGACGAGCATCAGCACTGGCTGGAAACCGGCTGCGAGCATGAGCGCAGTGCAAACGCGACTCGTCAGCGAGGTTCGCAGCGAAACGACGCGCTGTGGACCAGACATGGCCACCACAGTCGTTGGTGGTGGCGGTGGCTGCTGTGCGATGGAACTCGGAATGGCAGGCGGCGGGGCGGCAGTGCGCGTCGAGTTTCAATGCGAATCCAGCAGAGTTGAATGGACCATTGGGACTGGCATTCGAAACGGTCACTGGGTTGAGAGGCGTGTGATGACGACGAGCTTCACGACGCTGGGGCAGAATAATTTCAACAACGACGGCGAAGGCGACTGCGACAAGTGCGGGGATGCACGCAGCAACAATCGCAGCCGCCATTGCTCAGAGTGACAGATCCAACAAACGACTGAGGTAGTGGTCGAAATCGCTCAGATAGGTGCGCTAATTGGTGCCGTGTTACCGGGATGAAACAGCGAAATGCTTGTACGAGTGGATGTGCAGCAGGGGATACTATGTTGTTTAATGGGGTTCAGGTTGGGTCGGTGGTTTGCAAATCCGTGTGCTCGACTGCATGCACTTTTGGGCGAACGGGTCTCATTGGGAGACTCGTAATCATACAAAGCAGGTCTTTCGAGCTATTGGCCAGTGTAACGTCGGTTTGATTGAGACAAAGCGTGCCAAAAAAAAAACGAAATACCAAATACACGAATTCCTCAAGAACCTTCGCCGGCTGGACGGACGCGAACTCGGGTCCTAACAATGCATTGACGCACATAATGTTGGCATGTCATATTGTTGGTCCCGAACTCCGACCAAGCCCAACAGAAACTGAAAATTGTCAACTGAATGCCAAAGCCCTTGTGCGCCCTGCCAATGCTGTGCTTGCGGCACATTGTTCGTGCAGATTGGCAGACACCTTGCCGAACCATCTCGATTTATTACATATTATACTATAGATGACCTGTACTTTCGAATGAGCACATCTTCGACCGAAGGCAGACTTGAATCTGTCGCTGCTTTCCATGCTCAACTTCAGCGCAACCGTGCGTTCGTGCAATCGTTTCCGAGGCAGACCAGTATCGTTAAACGGCACGAAAATAATATTTCCAACACGGAATTAGTGAGCCACAGGCTGCTACGAAGCCGCTCAGTACACTTTGAGTGAACACAAAGTGCGCCTCCATTTTTTTTTTTTTGTTGCTGTTTTTGCGACTCCCAGAGCTCAATTCTCGTTGGTCAAGACATTTGCCCAAGCTCGCTAGCATCTCGGGGCTTGTAGCTCATTTGGTAGAGCGCATCGTTAGCATCGATGAGGTCAGCGGTTCGACTCCGTTCAAGTCCATTTTTTTTGCTCACTTGTTTTTTTTTTTTTTTTTTTTTTTTTTTTCTGGCTTTGGCTTTGGCTTTGGCTTGGCTTGTTTCACATCCGATTTGTAGAACTACATTTCTTCTTCTTCATAAATGTTCCAACCGTCACCCTAAGTTGATCATCCTGGTCTTTGCCTTGGCTGTCCGATTGCATTTTCACTTCAGTCGTGTTTGGTTTTTTGTTTTGTTTTTTTGGCTGCGTTTTGGTAATGGGCGAGGGCTCTGGGCTCTGCGTTTGAAAGATCCCCCCTGAGAAGAAAGTGCTCCGACTCAGGATGTGACGCTGGGGACGCAGGGTGGGTGCATGGCGAGAAGCGAACTGAAACAATTCTGATAGTTCGACAGATTGACCTGAACCAGCAATGCCGTCGAATCCGCGTAAGAATGACAGAGTCGAGGATGCGAGCGTGCAACTACAGTTAGTAAAAGCCAAAGTCATTGCAACAGTGTGACGGCACGTGGATTGACTGTAGCGCATTGATTCTAACTACAGCCGGCCCCGAGCGCGGGAAATTGCTGAGAGCTTACTCGTGGACACGACGTGGGTTTGCGTCTAGTAAGGGCATCTAGTATTGACTGATGATGTGAGTGGCTGATCCAAAAGTCAGGATTTAGAGCGCTCACTAATGGAGGGGAAGGACAGCTTGTATGAGAATGAGATAGAGAAAGGTGGAGCAAACGCGATTGCTGAAGCACTCAAGGTGAACACGTCAGTGACTGACCTCGGGTAAGCAAAATCACATTCGCTGATGCATGTGAGTCAGTACAGTAATCCAGTGACAATACAGAGTCTTCGCTGATGTCGAGGACAGCCTGGGTAAGATTCAGATTGGCGAAGGTGGAGCGCGAGCAATTGCTGAGACACTCAAAGTGAACACGAAGCTGACTTGGCTCATGTAAGTCATCTTGCTTGAACCGATGCACGTGTGTGGAGGTACATAGCGGGAAATCAGAGTGATCACTGAAGGAGAAGATGGACAGACTGTGCCAAAATCAGATAGGCGATATTGGAATGAAGGCGATTGCTGAAGCACTCAAAGTGAACACGTCATTGACCGAGCTCGAGTAATGTAAGACCTTGGTAGGGTTAGCCAGGCAATGTTGTTGTAAAGTGTTTTATTTCACTTTGCAGACTGAACTGCAAT